GCCCCGTCTAAGGCGGGGGGGGGCGCGGGGCGGGGGGGGGTGAAGGGGCCCCGCCCCATTGCCATCACTAATGATAAGTATATGCATATTGAGTTCGTTGAATATATCGTAATTAATCATGTATATTAGGCTCGAAAAAAAAATTATTAATTGATTTTTATTAAATAATGATTTTGTATATAAAAAAATGGTTATAGGGGCAGCCACGTGTATCAATTAGTTTTATTTTAATATTGTTTATTTGTTTTGATTTTGGGAATCGATAAGAGTTGTCAATTAGTTTATTTTAATATCATTTATTTTCCTTGATTTTGGGAATTGGATATGTTGTCAATTAGTCTTATTTTAATATTATTTATTTGATTTGATTTTGGGAATTGATAGGTATAGTTTGCCACATGTAGATTAAACAGGAAAGGGAGTAGATGTTGATTTATGGATACCGGAATTGAGAATTTTTAGGGAAAAAAAAAAGGGTATTTTGTAGATTTTTAGGCCAACAAAACTCAATTTTCCTTTTCAACTTTAAATACGGTGTAAAAATACTCATTTTCTACCCTAAAGAAAAGAAAAGAAAGAAAACATAAATATGTGTTACGGCGGCAGCAACACGACAAGTAGAAGATAAAGATTTGGAACGTGATTTTGGTTTTGCTTTTCAAATTTATTTGATCTAACAAGGTGCAATTGATCTTTATCCTGTTTAAATTATTTCTTCATATTGATGAGTTTTCATACTTATGAAAGTTAAAGATATGATATGATATGGTAATTCGGTACCAATAATATGATATGTATTGAGCTCTTACCCTTTTTAAAAGATATGATGACTGTATGATATTTTGACACCTGTTTTAAATCTTTTATTCGGGGTTTCACCATTAATTCGTGTCCTATTGAGTATTCTCATATGCTCACATTTTTTTCCTACTCCTTACGGGTTAGAACGGGTCGTTGGTTGGCAGGCGATGAAGTGCGATCGTGGTGCTAGAATTTATGGAACTCAATAAAACTAATCTGGTGTAACGTGACTAAGGATTTTATTTTTCAACATTATTTTATTTTTATTATTATGTGAATTTTGTTTTATAGAATTTGGAACATATTTTATTGGTTATGTTTTATTTAGGTCCTGTTTGGGAGAGATTAAATTTTTCTACGGTAAATCAATTCTCATTTTCAACCACACATAAAATAATATTTTTCATCATATCAATAATTTGTTCTTTTTTTTCAACCACACATTTCCCATCATATCACTATTCAAAATCAATTCTTCTCCCAAAAACCTCTCCCAAACAAGCTCTTAATATTCGTGTTTGATAAGTTTATTTTAATTACATAATGAAACTTCCAGTAACGATTTAAAAATAAAAAAATTGGGTCGTTACATTCGTATAGTAGAATTAGAATAAATAACAAACAAATCACAACTCTTTTTATGTCACCATACTTCGAATTTAATAGTAGCTATTGAACTACAAATTAGATTTTATTTATCGTGTGAACTATACTCTTAATTCACAAATCTTATTACTTGTACAACGATCACGTACACTTGAAGAGATGAGTATATGAAAAACCAAGGACTTAAAAAGTATGCTTAAAAATTGGCTTCTGAGTAGCCATAGAGGGAAGATGCAAAATGGGTATGACCAGCGCAAAAGATTGCACCTTAACTGAAGCAACCACCACCATACTATTAAACAGGAATAAAAGCAGATTATTTTTGTGCCTCCAGCATAAAGCAGAGAAGGGGAACTCTAAAAGAGATTAGTAGAACGCCATAACAAAATCAACAGAGACCACCTTATTTCTAAATTTTATTGTTCCTAAAACAGCTCCATAATCTCCCCAAAATTGTTCCATTCCATTGAAATCGTCCTTTAAAGACTTTTTCGGGACTGTATTTCTCAAGAGTAACATAGAGTTGCTTTTACTTTACTTAATCCAGTTCTTTGGCTATGGTATCCACATCAGATCCCATCAAGAAATCCAACTTTTGAGGCTTTATGACAGTTCTACTAAATCTTGCATCAAGTAATGACGCTTGAGTCTGGCCCTGAGAATGATGTGTTGTTACTCTTCGAGGCAGTGAGCAACACAAATGATCGATGGGTTCATTGGGTTGTGTTTAGGTGAGGATGCATGATAGTGATGCCATTAAGAACATGAACGCAATGTATAGTTATGGAATACAGCATCAGCGCCAGTCCATAACATGATAACATGTCAAGTCCAGGAGCAGAGCCATCACCCAACTGGCCCCTACGGCAGCCCGTGCCTGCTAGGCTGGAAAATTTTTTCCCCTTATATTGGGTGGCTGCTCGATGGCCGCTCAAGCGCCCATGCTCACCTGAATCTGCCCGTGCTCACTGGATTACTGGACACAAAGAATATGACCACCCATAAATAGCAATGAATGATGATTTGCAGATCCCCATAAGGTGCTACACTTGAAATATGTTGAGAATCGAGCCAAATAATAAGGATAATAATAATATGAGCACCAAACTTGCTCGAATTACCACGAATGGCAAAATCATCAAGTTCACAACTAACTGTATCTGAGTTAACAAATTTGCTCAATTTGTTGCTTCCCCTCCAACATCCAAACAAAAAATTTTCATAACAAAATTTGGTGTTGTGATCCAAAAGTGGAATCTCAAATTTCTTACTTGCCATCCTTGAAACAATCAACCTCATTCAAGTCTTGCTTTAATAACCAATTTGGTCCTTCCAAAAACAGTCAAAACCTTAACTTTGATACTACTTATTAAGAATCAAATAGATATCAGAATCATTTTAATATCACTTTATTGAGAATTGGGTCAAATAATAAAAAAAGAGAATAATATGGATAATATGAGAATAATGGATCACGAAGAAAATTCTAATATGTAATCAATAGTAAGGAGTTACAAACGATATTTTTGGATCAGTAACTAATTGGACAATTGATCAATTCTAATATGTGTTGTACACCATATATATATAATCAAAAAAATTCTAACAAACTAGAAAAATTATTACATGAATAGTTTAATATAAAGTGAAATCACAATAAAATGGGTAAAACTAATAATGGAGAATTTGGGATGAAATATGAGTCAAATTCAACGTGGACTCCTTCAAAATATCCTCAAATCTACTACCAACTACCAGTAATCCTTCAATAGTATTTCCAATCAAATACTTAACAAGAATTCAAGTCACAACCCAATTCTAATAATATACCTAATCGAGGACATGTTAATTTTATTAAGTATAGTGTGTCTTGTAATGCTGGTTCTTATATATATTTATGTTGAAAATGCAATAGTTCAAAATACTTAGTTTACGCTATAATTTTGTAATAAAATTCTAATTTATTCATGAAAGTAATTAATTATCTAACCATATAAAAAAAAAACTAAATTGTAAAAATATACATTGTATTCCGAAAGTGTAGCACCTCTCACATTTCGAGTATTTCCACCAACTATAGGGACACAGTCGAAGCACACTCAAAAGTGGGCGCTCTTATTTCATGAGGACATTTTGGTACGGGAAACTAATTACAGATGAAAAATCTATCACAAAATTTTTATCAATTATTGACTCCAACTCCAGGAAGAACAGTCTATTCCCTTCATAACTAATATTTACTCGTGTTACATGAAAAGGTCAGTTGTACAAGAAAACTTGTAAATACGCGCCTTTTTTACATGGATATATATATATATATATATATATATTATATACATCGTAAAAATATCTACATTATGCAAGTGCCGATCAAGGGTGGCGAACTCCACATAGAGGTCAAGTCGTGTATTCCAGCCAGTTAAATAGCACATCTGATCGTGATCACTCCCAACCCATCAGCATCTTCCAAACGGCCTGCTCAATCTCTTCCCTTGAGACGGACAAACCATCACCTTCATCGATTAAAACTCTGTATACTTCCCACTCCCTATCTCCAATCATGTACCTCCCAATTTCAGCCTGAAAAGG